CTGAATCCCGCTCGGGGTAAAGTGCCAGGTTTTGCAAGGAAAGGGACTCTGCAGCGGAGAAGGTGAATGCTTATGGCTTGAACCCTGTTTTTCTCTGGTTTTCTGTTACCCTCTGTTCAATGTCCCCCCTGCATCAGCAGGGAGTGGGTAGATGCCGGCTGGCCTCTATGGGGTTGGTTTTGGGAGACTGAGCTGCAGTGGGAGCTATAATAAGCCAGCGGCATAGACATGCTCGCTGAAGCACAGTCTGCATTCATCCGAGCTGCTAAATTTAGGTCTCTTCCAGCAAAAGAGCATGTGCCAAGAGGCACAGGGATGAGATATAACTGTTGTATGAGCTGGAAAAAAAAAGAACCTGAGAGGGTTTATTTACCCATTATAACAACTGTACTTTTGGCATCAAAAGAGTCCCTGAGGATAAACACAGGGAAGACAAGATATGTATTACTGCAAGGCTGATTTCCCTCTGTCAGCCTCATGAGCTTGTCCAAGGCTGACCCTGGCAGTGTCCCATGGGGGTAACACTGAAGTCCCTTTCCCTGAAGTGTTTTGACTTTAGGGCAGCGCGATTTATTGGGGCAAAAAATAATCATCTTTATGAACATAATCATTCTTACAGAAATCATGGCTGTTTGTGATGCAAAGTTCTTAGGCAAGGGGAAACGATGCTTGAAGACCTGGAGAGGTGGTGTGGGAGTGAGGGAGACACGATACAGGTAAGAAATCCCCACAAACAGCGTGGGGGGATGACCAGGACTTCTTGCTCGAGGCTGTTGCAGCCTGTGTGCTCCACGCCATCGTCCCCCTCGCTCCCCCCTTGGGAATGCCCTTTTACATGACAGCATCAAGCGAGACATCAGAGGCTGGCTGTGCGCTCGGGCTGCAGTCAGAGAGCCCCTCTGTCCCCAGAGATTTTTACAGGCAATGCTGGGGAGCGTGGACGCCATCCCAGCCTGCCAGGCCACCTTTGCTTGCGTGGGTCTCTGTTTAACCCCAAATGTGCATTTCCTAAATGCATGTGAGGCTCCCTGGGGAATCTCTCCCTGCTCTGGATTGCAACCAACTGTTTGCGGAAGGGCAGAGGAGGGGAGCAGGGCTGGATTGCCTTCCCGTCAGGCGTTGGAGAAAAGCTGCTTTGCGCCGGCGAGTCCCACCCCGCTCCAGGGCGGGGACTTTGCCATCCGGGGCAAACCCAGCAAAGCTCTCCCCATCCCTGCCAAAGCACCCGCCTGGGACAGCAGGTGAGTGCCAAACTACCCGGGGGTCCCCTTTGGCACGGGGAAGATGTGGCATGGCTGGAGGTGCCTGGGAAGATGCCAAGCACCGGCCCCGCTTGCCAGACCGCAGCGGCTGGTAGTGCGGCTGTGCGGGAGCGGGACAGCCCTTGGCTGGGTGGACGTCCCGTCGGGGCCACGATGCCAAGGCGTTGGGGCACTGGGGCAGCCCCGCAGGGGGCAGGCCTGGGGTGAGGAAGGACGGGGAGGCAGGTTGTGGAAAGGAGGAAGATGGCTGACTCTTCCCGGGCACAGGGAGCACAGGTTTTGCTTCCTATTTCTGCCGTGGCCAAGCTGGCACGTCCTCCCCGCTGGATGCTGGAGCGTGGAGGGAATGGCAGGGGGCTTGTGAAGCGGCTTTGGGTGGGTGCACGGGCTGAAGTGAGGAGCACAAGCCTCTGCTAACTCAGATTTATAGTTTTGTTCATTTTGAGGGCAGTGGCCAGGCAAAGGCCGTTGTGTGGGAGGTGCTGGGATATTTCGGCTGGCTCGGGGCTCGCCAGCAGAAGGGAGATTCTGTCCTGAGCTGTAAATTGGGCTGGGATCAGGGTCAGTCACCCTGCTTTGAGCCTCAGACCTGCCCCGGGGCGCTCTGCCTCCCTGAAGCACAGCCAGCTGCGGAGGGAGCAGGCTGGATCCAGCACACGGGAAACTGCCGGCAGTGGCAGAGCCCTGGAAAAGCTGATGTGGTGCAGGGTGTGGGTTTGTGTTCGAGTAAACGTGCACCGAATGAAAGAACTAGTCAAACAAGTCCAGTGTTTGCCTTGCAAGGGGATGGGTCACAAAACGGTGGTTTTCCACTCCAGGTCCTAGGTGTAGGACCGGCAACATGTTTATGAGCTCAAACTTGGGGGAAAAAAAATCCCTTGTTTATATCCTGTTAAGCTGTTGGGAGCTTTGCTTGCTGGGAGCTCTGTGTGCTCTGTGCACGGTCAGGAAAACTTGATTCAGAGCAAGCCTAGGTTTGAACTGGCCAGCACACGTGATAGTTCCAGCTGGTTTCTGATAAATGACATTTAGTCTGGATTCAGCTTTTTGACGACATTAACGTGGATTTAGAACTGCCCGATTAGCTGATAAAGCCTGCCAGGAAAAGGTCATCCATGGAAAAATCTGAATAATGGGAGGGATGCCTTATACACCTGCACTCTGTCATCTGGCCGCAGCGTTTTGAGCTTGTTCGAAGCCAGGTTTACTTTATCGGCTAGGTCAGGCCTTTATTCCGGGATGAAGCAAATAACACCAGGACAGGGATTAGCCAGGGCACCTTAGCATGCTAGCTGATGCTTTGCATGCATAGTTTAATTCTTCAAAACACGGAGTTAAATCTTTTTCCTATCCTGAAGCTGTTTTCCCCCGTTTGAGCTGCAGGCCAGGAATTGTGTTAAGCTGTAGAGCGCTGGCAGATCTGACTGAGCACTCCCTTTCGGTCCTAGCAAAGGAGGTGGCGCGGAGAAAGGCTGAGGGACTTGGGTCTCTTTAGTCTGGAGAAAAGAAGATTGAGGGGGGATCTTATTAATACTTACAAATACTTAATGGGAGGGTGCCAGGGGGATGGGAGCAGTCTTTTTTCAGTGGCGCCCAGTGATAGGACGAGGGGTAATGGGCATAAACTTGAATATAGGAAGTTCCATCTTAACATGAGAAGGAACTTCTTTACTTTGAGGGTAGTGGAGCACTGGCACAGGCTGCCCAGAGAGGTGGTGGAGTCTCCCACTCTGGAGACATTCAAAACCCGCCTGGACGCTGTCCTGTGCAACGTGCTGTAGGTGACCCTGCTCTGGCAGGGGGGTTGGACTAGATGATCTCCAGAGGTCCCTTCCAACCCTAACCATCCTGTGATTCTGTGATGCCCCAGCAACAGTTCATGGAGGCACCTTCACCTGTGAAAGGGAGCAAGAGGATTACAGGGGCAGGGACCATTGCTGGAGAACCTGGCTGAGCTGCCGAGCGCTTCCACCTGTAACTTCAGTGGCTCATTTCTTGTGGCACCACACGCAGAAATACACTGGGAAGGGAACAGCGTTTGCAGATTGCGCAGTGGGGTTAGCACCGCTGCCTTTTGCAGTGCTCTACTCTGTATCTACCCAATGATGGTTAAGCTGGATGAAGAAACTGGAATCTCACAGTCAATATTCAATGTGACATTTCTGTTGTAATTTGATATTGCAGGAGCACTTGCCCTGAATCCAGTACATGCATCCTTTCCTCATGTTTTGCTTTCTTTCTGCCAGCTCATTTGCACTCAGAATTTCTCTGCCTCCTACCCTCTTTTCCTTGTTTATTGACCTTTCTTCTGCCCTCTGACTTACTAAACCAGCCTGTCTAACACTCCTGCTTCTGTGTACAAACCAACTGAATGGTAAAACTGCATCAGAAAAATATCTGTGAAATTCAAAGCCATTGTTTAGTGTCTGGCTAAAGCAAATTAAAAAGTTGGCTTTATATTTCTGTAAAAGATTAGAGAAGAGTAAAAATGGCTTTTCTGAGGTCTAGGTCATATTTTGACCCCTGAAATCTATCATCATATCACAGAAGACAAACTCAACACTAATAATTTTCCATCTGTTGCCTGATTGCACAGGGTGTAATAATGTACAGATGACCTGGAGAGCACTAAGGAGTGCCTGGGTATAACACATCTATGGCAAATGCCAAACTAAAAGTTAACACGCCCAAACAGGACCCTCCCATGGTATTCCAGATTTGTAAGAGTCATGTGAAGCATGAGCAAAGACGCTCCTGTTCTTGCACAACTGTCTGGGCTCATTGATAGCGGCTGTTAAGCACCATGAGCAGGATTAGGGAGCGATGTCGTCAGCCGCTGGCATCACTGCTTCTACTTAAGGGCTCTGATGTGAGCACCTCAGCTCATGCTGTGTTGAACTGGAGTTGCAGGGAAGTGAACCTTGTCCTAGTACTCGACATCCTGTCGACTGACCAGGGATATGGGAAACGCTTCGGGTGTGTTCACGTATAGGTCCTATGCATGAAAACAAAATTACGAGCAGAAAAAATAAACCCTGGGGAGATGGCAAATAAGCTATATATATAAAACTCTCGTTGAGGGTTTTACCAGTCAGTTAAAACTGCAGTATGAGGAATTGCACATTGCACCAACCTGAGGAGATGTTGAATACAGCAGATTTTAAGAGGGAAAATGTTTCTCCTGTCCCAGTCCTTGAGCGAGGTTGTCCTTTGTGTAGTCATCTAGACCTTGACGTTGTCTCTGCTTCCCAGGGAGCATCTGAAGGCTGTTAGGACAGTGCAGGCACCCTCACCCTAATTCACCCTCTGGCTCTCGCCTAGCAAGGTCAAAGCCATGTGCTTTGAAGGGCACAAGGAATCAAGTCTATTTTCTTTGCCCTCAGAGCTACACAGTCTGCTTCTCCTTGTAGCCTCAATTGGGCTGTCACGCTAGCAATAGAAAAGAAATTTCTTAAATTACTAGTGATAATCATCTGCTCATGCACCACATCCCATTTGCAGCCAGGGCAAACGCCCTGGCCCTGTGCTCTTAGAAACCAGCCTTTGTTCGGTCGGTACAAAGCAGGACTGGAAACTTGGGGATGCTGTTTTGGGCATTCACTAGGGCTGTTCAAGTGTTGCTTTTATTCCTCAGAGAAATTACACGGTTATTTAATCAGCCCTATTGACTGGCAAGGGTAGGTATAATCTATTAATTATTTGCTAGAAAACTTAACACCCTCTCTGTTTTTTTATTACAGTTGTCTAACTGCCTGAGGACTCGAACAATAACAGATTGACCAAATACAAAAGCGATGGTGAGTGTGTGTTTTCTGTACCATGCTGTGCCAGGCGTTTGCTCTGATCAGATAAAGGTGGGGAGCGTAGCTCAGATAAGGACACAGCAGGAAGAACACTGTCACTGTCTGTCCCTTTATGGGGGGGTGATTTTATCACTTCTCTCTGCTTCCTTATACTAGAGAAGAATGACCTACACATATGGGCTTTTCAATTTTGGGAGTTAATGGAAAATCTGATCAGATATTAGTTCAAAGAGCATGAACTTCTCCAGATCAACTTCCTGGGCATATTATTCTTTCCAGGTTCCATGTGCAAGGTAACCACTTATATGATAGTTATCCCTGTGCCTGTTTCAGAAAGTCTTCACTACAGGAATGTTAAGCAGTGTTTTGCTGATGATTTTCATGGGAACATGGGGACAAAGAGACCGTGTAGTCCCACAGAAATAGCACTGGACAAGAGGCAGGAGAAACCTGTTTGTGAATCACTGTTTTGAGCAAAACACTGCACTTCCCAATGTGTTATTTTACAGAATGATGGTCCTTGGCTGCTCTTAGAGAAGTTGGGAGTAGGGCTTTGGGAACAACTTCTTCTATGATTTACTCAGAAAACTGCTGGGAAGAAGCCCCAGCTGGACTAAACAGAGATGCTGGGCTGCCTGCCATTATTTAATTGGAAACCAGATACTCCATGGGCAGCTATATGAAGATATTTCCTTCTTTTAGTTGTGTCCTTGTGGCTTATTTCTTATGTGGCTGGGATGTCCCTCTAGAACAAACTGTTTCTCTTTAGGGTAGGATGGAAGCCTGATATAAAGTCACTCATGTTTGGTGACTTTAGTTGTGGTTGCTGTGTTTGCATCTTTTGCATTTTATTTTTTTTTAATTCAACTCTACTGTATGCACATATCACTTTCAGTCTGCCTTTCCTAACTCCTCTCCTGTGGGTTTAGGCAACAATCAAGGGGGTCTCGAGTTTCAGTGCTGAGCAAGAAGCGCAGGGACTAAGGAAGGCCATGAAGGGATTTGGTAAGTTGGTCTCCCTCCACTGTTAAACCCTCTTTTCCCCCCCGCAGGCTTTGGGAATATTTTGTCTGGCCATTTGTTAGAGGGGAAGTCTGGCCATTTGTTAGAGGGGAATTCTAGCCATTTGCATTGCCCCACTGCCCTATGAGGGCACTGAAAGGACTTAATCAGGCTGAGACTTGAACTCAACTGGAAATCCAAGTCTTGGCCACAAAAACATCCTTAGTCAGGCTCTTGTCTTTCCTCTCCTGTGGTGTGGTACTGCCATGCTGCTGGCTGAGTTGAGGCACTACTGTACATTGATTTAGTCACAAGTGCTGTTGAGAACCAGGTTGTGTAAGGAATAGAAGACGTTGAGAACCAGGTTGTGTAAGAAACAGAAGATGGCTAATGGCACACTATGGATGAGAGCAGAACATGCTTCTGGTTCTTGTGCAAGCAGCCTAACTGGTTTCCATTGGTTTCTTCCAGGCACAGATGAAGATGCCATCATTGAGATCTTGACCAAACTAAATGTTTCCCAACGTCAGCAAGTTCTGATCACGTATAAAAGCAGTATTGGCAGGGTAGGTGATCTTCAGAGATTAGTGACTGTGGCATTAACTGGGAGATGCAGACAATTGTTGGGTTATGTCACTTGGGTGAAATGTGAACAACATCCTTGTCTTGCAGTAAGGTTAGCACAAGCTTTCCCTGGCCAAGTTTATTTTGGTCTTGTTCACTTCAGAGCAACTGTTCATCCAAGGAGGGTTGGAGTCTGAAGAAGAGTGGTAAATGAATTCTTTCTGTTCTTAAAGGCTGTATCTTCTCCCAACTCCTTTCTTCTCTCTCCATCTTCTAGGATTTGATTGATGACTTGAAATCTGAGCTGAGTGGGAATTTTGAAAGGGTGATCGTTGGTATGATGACTCCTACCACCATGTATGATGTGCATGAACTGAGGAGGGCTGTGAAGGTTTGGAAATCTTCCTTTTGTGTTCCCTAAGTTGTGGTCAATTAAGTATGATATGGCATAATTATACATTTATGATTAATTTCTTATTATTAACTTATATAATTTAAAAAAAAAATCCTAGATGCACATCAAAACAGTTGTCATTCTAATCTTGGATCTTGTCTTCACAATTCCCTAGGGTGCAGGAACAGATGAAGGTTGCCTGATTGAAATTCTGGCTTCTCGCACAAATGAAGAGATTCGGCGCATTAATGAGAACTATAAGTGTCGTATGTAGTGCAAACTGCAAGCCATTATCATACTGACTGAAAAGTCACTTGTGTGCATGCATGGACATGTGAAGAGGAAGGAGTGGGGTCCGTCAGCCTTTAAATGTGACAAATCAGCCAAAGCAACTATTCTAATTTGTCCAGAGAGAACCCCTGAGTTAAACAGGTGTCAACAGCAGGACTGTCAACAGCCTCAAGGATTAGAATTTCACTCAGAAATTGAATCAGTGTAAATAAAACAGGATGGGGTGGTTATTTCTATCAGTTGGATGTCTGTCCGTGTGTGGAACTATTACCAATTTTATACTGGCTGTGCTTCTTAATTTTAGCCTGGAGCACAAAATATGATGGCTGGACTGCTACGATGATGTTTAGAGGCCTGAGCACAGTTAGACACTTCCCTAGCTTACACCTGGCAAATGTGGTGGACAATCAGTGTCCAGGTGATGGACCTGTTACTAACAGATGTCATGTGTGTGTCCTCTTGCTAGAATATGGCTGTACGCTCGAGGAGGACATTGTCTCTGACACATCTTCCCTGTTTCGAAGAGTCCTTGTGTCCCTTGCGACAGTAAGTCCAGGCGAAGGAAAATGGGGGTGAATATTCTGTTGCTGATGGACATGCCTCTCACTTCAGTGATGAGGTGTTTCAGGCTGGTTTTTATTTCACTGACCCTGCATTTCACCTCACCTGCACTTCACCCCCAGCTTCTGCAGGGAAAGGAGTCTGACTCCGGGTATGCATTAATGTCATGGCCCAGTTAAAGTGAATTGTTGCTCATTTTAAAAGGAAGTACAAATCACATCTGAGCTGTATTTTGCTGTATTTGTAAGCTACTATTCAATTTTAAGGATCCTATTATGCCTCTCCAGTAACTTGTTTTGAATGGGGAATTTGCAGGATTTGCTTCTATTGGTCGCTCTGGTGAATTGAGTTTTTCATCCTTGTGTCTTCACAGGGAAATAGAGATGAGGGAACATATGTGGATGATGCCCTTGCTCAACAAGATGCTCAGGTGCGTAGCAATCTGCTTCCGTGCAAGAACTGTCTGTTCTTGCACATGTGATATGTGGTGAATCCCTCCTTTTTCTAGACCTCTTCTTTTTTCAAGGCAGAACAGTAAGCCCGAAGCTATGCTAGACAGCAGTGCCCTAGGCGGAAACCTGGGCTCTAGTCTCAGTTTTGACCTTTAGCGAATCCTCTTCGCTGTTCTGACTCAGCCAGTGAAGTGGGAATAATGGTTCTCGCCTCTTTTGCAGCTCTGTGGTGAGAGGTCTCCAGACAGGCTGGGTATTTGGGAGGGGAGAAGACAGTTCAGTTGAGAGTTGCTGTGCTTGGTTAGTATTTGTTGGAGAATATCTGTGATCTAGACCAGCCACAGGCCAGCAGTGCTCAAGCACTAAGAAAGTAAAAATCTCACATTATGTACACCTTGTCTTCTCAATGAGCCTTACTTTGTCCGTTCATAATGTCTTCAAGTGCCTGTATGAAGCTGGGGAGAAGAAATGGGGAACAGATGAGGTGCAATTTATGGCCATCCTCTGTACACGGAACAGATGCCACCTACTAAGAGGTAAGACTCTCTGCAGTGTCCTGGATTTTTTTCCCTTGTTTGAGGAAGACGCTTTTGTAGGAGCTTTGTACTTTTTCATTAACCGATTGTGAACTCTTCCTGAGACATCAGGTATCCTAGAGCCCAGTTGCATTCAGCTCTTTAAGGCCATTTTATTCCCTCCTGAGACAAAAAGGGACTTGAGGAAAAACATCAGTACAACTCACTCCAGCCTGTAAATTGCAGATAATGAAGTGTGACTCCCATTGGAGCAGAGCTAAGCATTTACACTGCCATCATTAACTAGCAGTTCTTGACAATGCTAGCAGCAGTGGTAGGCCAATTAGCAAGACAGTTGATGATTAAAATGAATGATTTCTGTGGGACAGCCCTGATTTAGCTTATAATGTCACAATAATGGTACAATGTTCATGCGGAGTATGAGGAGTTTGATCTTGCGGAGTGATCCTTAGTGGTTTACACACTGTCTGCCCTAAAGCTTCTCACTCGCTCTTTTTTTAATCGCTGACTCTTCCTCCTAGTTTTTGATGTGTACAGAGGGATTGCTAATAAGGACATAACGGACAGCATTAAATCTGAGATGTCAGGAGACCTCGAAGATGCTTTGTTAGCTGTGGGTGAGTTCCTGGCTTTTAAACTTTGTCTACAAAGTAATTAAAAAAATGGGGATATGGTATCTTGCCCTGGCTGGCTGTTCACATAGCTTCAGGAGGCAGATACTGTGTGTCTTTTTTGCAAGCTTCAGTGTTTTACTCTTTGCAGATACAATCGGGTGGGAAAGCTCTGCACTTTATGATATTGTTTGCTTTCCCAAGTGATGTTCTGGTAGCTGACATTTGCTGTCGGAAGCATTAAAGCCTTGAAGAAAATATTACTGTGCACTGGGCATGGAGACATGGATTTACAGCAGGTCACTGATTATGGATGTCTGCGTTCTACTTGCTGTTTGTTGGCCCTGAATTGCATCTTTACAGAATAAACACCTTCACTGAGAAAGTGCTGTAATGCTTTGGAAGACCTTCTCCCTCAGTTTTGATTGACCTTAATTCTCTTGTTCTTGTCTCCCTTACAGTAAAGTGTGTGCGAAATAAACCTGCATATTTTGCTGAAAGATTATATAAATCCATGAAGGTAAAGAGTTTTTGGTGTGAAATTGCTTGCTCCCCCCCCTCCCCTTGCCTTTCCATACTCAAGTTCGTAGCATGACAGCAATCGTTCGATAAAGAGAAACTCTGCCATTAACTGGGGGGGAGGCAGGGAGGAAGTCTGAGCTTTTATATGGACCTCTTTTCCCTCAGGAATCATAGAATCGTCTAGGTTAGAAGGGGCAATTTAAGATCATGGAGTCCAACCGTTAACCCAACACTGCCAAGTCCACCACTAACCCATGTCCTTCAGCACCACATCTACATATCTTTTAAATCCCTCCAGGGATCGTGACTCCACCACTGCCCTGGGCAGCCTGTTCCAGTGCTTGACAACCCTTTCTGTGAAGAACCTTTTCCTAATATTCATCCTAAACCTCCCCTGGCACAACTTGAGGCCATTCCCTCTTGTCCCATCGCCTGTTCCTTGGGAGCAGAGACCGACCCCCCCCCTCGCTGCCCCCTCCTCTCAGGGAGCTGTAGAGAGCAGAAGGTCTCCCCTCAGCCTCCTCTTCTCCAGGCTGAACACCCCCAGGGCCCTCAGCCGCTCCTCACCAGACGTGTGCTCCAGACCCCTCACAGCTCCGTCGCCCTTCTCTGGACACGCTCCGGCACCTCAATGTCCTTCTTGTAGTGAAGAGCCCAAACCTGAACACAGTTCAAGGTGGGAGCTCAGAGCAGTATCCTTACCCAGCGAGCGAGTATCACTCCACTAATGCAAAATGCTCTGATTAGGAACAGACCCCACAAAAGACCAAGAGCCAAAACCTTTGTGTTTGTGCTTTGCAATTGTACATGGTTGGTTTATTTCTTTAGGGCTTGGGAACAGATGACAACACGCTGATCCGAGTGATGGTGTCCCGCTCTGAAATAGATATGCTGGATATCAGAAGGGAATTCCTGACCATGTATGGGAAATCCCTCTACTCCTTCATTAAGGTAAGCTTTTCAGTGTTAGAAAAGGGAAGCTGGATTTGGAAAGCAGCTTAAAGGTGACAGGTGCCCACTTGACACCTATTGGGTATTTTAGAGGAGCTGGAACTAAGATGACTTTACATTTATGTACTGAAAATGTTCCTGAATGTTCTTAGTTCTTAAATTGTCAAAGAGGATGCAAACCCTACAACAAATTGTACGTGCTGGAAAGAATCCAGCCTTGTATGGAGTTGTAAAACTAATTGCGTTCCTTTTCTCTTCCTAGGGAGACTGCTCAGGAGACTATAGGAAAGTTCTGCTCAGGCTCTGTGGTGGGGAGGATTAAGGCTGCCTGCTGTACTGCCTGGGTGATGGGAAGCACTTGATCATAAGGATTTCTTTCTTTTTAATTTTTCCCAAATATCTTATTAATTGCTAAGAGCGTTGACCTAGGTTAGTTAATGCTCTGGTTAGATAATGGCCATTCCGGCTGACCCTTTTGATAGGCTTTTATGCTTGAAACACCCATTTGTCTACTAATTGGGCTAGCAAAGCCCATCTTGAACAGAATGCTGTAACCAAATATATAAAAGCTAAATTGTTTCCTGACAAGCTGTCCCTTTGCCATTGCATTCCCCAGCAAAACTTATCAACTGAAGCAAAGTGGGATGCAGTATATGAGAGGCTGCACAGGGAAAAGTTAACCTCATCAGTACACGGAGGATGCAGAATGCAGGCTTGCTTCAGTTTTTGCAAGATAATGTAAACACAGAGAAATCAATCTCCTAAAATACAAGCATGTTGATCTTAACTTGCCCTCTGTTAGTGTGGAGCATTAACAGCCTTGCTGCACTTTATATATATATATATATATATATATGTTGCCTATGGATCTGTAGGTAGGAAAGATGTCACTGGTGACATCAGAAAAAACTCTTGCTGCCGTAGTTACAAGCGAGCCCTGTATTCTTGGTCTGTCTTCTTTGACTTGTGGGAGTATAAATCATCATTATTACAAACCCTTCCTCTGGAGAAAGAGATGTCATTAGAATGGTGCCTTTTAAAGAATGACCTGTCCCAAAGATGCGTCTCCTCATCACTACCAGATGCCTTAGACTGGGATGCCTTGGACCGGGGAAGCTCACCAGATCTCGCCAGCGCTGGCAGGCTGGAGCCCTGTGTGACACTACTGTCAGAAGGTCCTGGTTTGTGCCTGTGCCTGGCCCGGACTTCCACACGGACCCCTTCCATGCTTTTTCCCCAGATCCTACACACCTGCCTCTTAAGCTGAGTGTTGTTTTCACTACACAAAATGTGGTTTGTGTTTGGTTTAGCAATTCTTGTTTTCTTTTTTTTTTTAGCTGTTGGTATATAATCCTGTTTTGAAGGCATCAGACTGATGTTAGAATTTGAAGGCACAAATACCCATATGGCCTACACCCATGTCTGTCACTCATTTTCTTCTAAATTAGGCTACTGTTGGCTTGAATAGGAGATACTTCTGTGGCCTCTAATGAAATTTTCTCTCTTGCTCTCTGTGCTGTAATTTGAGCTACATTCCTTAGTTTTGGTGAGAGAGGAGGCAGAGCTTTTTCCAGTTCTACTGAAGCCTTCTGCTCAGTGAAAGAAAAATTGTCTTACCCAGTACAACAGGCTAACAGATGCACTCAGGCTTGGGTTTGTGTTTAAATGCCTTGTGTTATGTTGCTGACTTCTTAAAAATGAATAAAAGATTCATTTCTGTACCTTCTGCCATGATTGTGTGTTCTGGGAGAGGTAATGGTGAAATAGCTGTCTCCTAGTTTTTTCATCAAGGTGCTGCTTCTCCTAAGCGTGGACCTCCGTACACCAGCAGAGTGCGGAGAGGCTGCAGGGAGACGTCTCTCGGCTCTTCAGCCCACAGTGGGGATTCCCGGGTGGAATGCTGCTACGGGGGTGAGGCCGACTCTTCCTTAGAAAAAGGCAAAACCAGTGGGACCAGCACAGGAGGATGCGGTAAATCCCCCTTCCAGCAGTGCTCTGGGATGTGGTTTATAAAACCCCATGCTGTGTCTGGGGGGGAATCACCAGTGGGGGGGTGCAGGCCTGCACACTGATGTCAAAAAAATATGGTTAAAAAGTTACATAAGTGCTTTGTGTAAAATTGTGATAGAACTTTGATTGAACTTTAGCTGAACTCCTGAAATCAAACCTTAATTGGGCCTTTTGCACCTGGACTAGATGTAGAAACAATTAAACTTAATTGTGTCCTTGCACAGCCACCTGGACTAGGCATAGAGACAATTAACTGAAATTTAAGATTAAAGAAATTGAATTGTTGAAGGATTACCATATCAAGAGCTTACTGCAGGTGAACAAGGCCCATGGAGGGAGTATGTTCCTGGTCTCTGATCTAAGAGTAGGATGACAGGACGTATAGTCTTTGGAATGGGGTTGAGATAACAGTGTGTCCAAGAGGAGCCTTCGGAGATTATAGTACTCAAAAACACACCTTCTTGTAAATAACGAGTACGCTAATTAAGGGGATCTTCCAAAATGCTTAACACATTGACCTGAATGCACACATGTGATGAGGGATGGTAAAGGAACTGCAGCTCACCAATCAGCTGTGTCTCATCGCTATAAATACTGGACTGTCAGAAGTGAGTGCTGTGCCGGCTGTTACACGCTCAGCATCAGATTCTGCAGAACTGAAATACAGGCAAATCTCGCCTCAGTGTGGTGATGGGTTTTCTTGCACACTGGGTGAAGAACCCTTATTTGGGGACAACATGGGGGGCAGACCATAGAATCGGCTAGGTTGGAAGAGACCTTTTAAGATCATTAAGTCCAACGACCAATTGAACACTGACATCTCCACCACTAAACGATGTCCCTCAACGCCACGTCTACACATCTTTTAAACACCTCCAGGGATGGCGACTCCACCACCGCCCTGGGCAGCCTGTTCCAGTGCTTGACAAACTTTTCTGTGAAGACCTTTTTCCTAATATCCATCCTAAACCTCCCCTGGTGCAACTTGAGGCCATTTCTTCATGTCCTGTTCCTTGGGAGAAGAGACCAACTCCCCCTTGCTACACCCTCCTTTCAGGGAGCTGTAGAGAACAGTAAGGTCTCCCCTCCGCCTCCTCTTCTCCAGGCTGAACACCCCCAGGGCCCTCAGCCGCTCCTCAGACTTGTCCCCCAGACCCCTCACCAGCTCTGCTGCCCTCCTCTGGACATGGTCCAGCACCTCAAGGTCTTTCTTGTCATGAAGGGCCCAAAACTAAACACGGTATTCAAGGTGGGGCCTCACCAATGCTCAGGACAGGAGGACGATCACTGCCCCAGTCCTGCTGGCCACACTATTCCCGATACAGGCCAGGATGCCGTTGGCCTTCTTGGCCACCTGGTCACGCTGCTGTCTCATACTCAGCCGGCTGTCCACCAACACCCCCAGGGCCCTCTCCGCCGGGCAGCTCTCATGCCACGCTGCCCCATGCCTGCAGCACTGCATGGGGTTGTTGTGACCCAAGGGCAGGAGCCGGCACTTGGGCCTGTTGCACCTCACACCATTGCCCTGGGCCCATCGCTCCGGCCTGTCCAAACCCTTTTTTGGAGAGCCATGTTGCCCTCAAGGAGATCCACACTCCCGCTCAATCCGGGGGTGCAGGCCCGCACCCCCCCAGCTCTGCAGGCGGCAGCACCAACAGCGATGCAGCCACAGCTCAAGAAGCCGGACGGCTCCTCTCGGCCACCCACCGCCAGGCAGAGAGCTGTGATGACGCCGAGGCACTTCCTTGGGTGCAATTACCGCTGTTTCCTGCGGCACCCGGAAGCCCGCCCGCCGCTACCCGCCGGCGCATGCGCAATGTAAC